GGACCTCAAGAATGACTTTAGCCTTTCTTGGCTACAGGGTGGATCCAGATTCAAGGACTGAACCGATTTTCCTTCTCCCAGGGATGCTTTTATTTTTCTCCAATTTAAACCTTAGCAAGTTGATTTCCATATCCTTAAAACAACCTGAACAATTCCAAGTGCAATTTCTTGATTCAGGAGGTACTCCGAAGTTTTCTGGGGTTTCCCCTTAACCAAGTTTTGCATAGGCTTTTTATCCTTGGGAAACTCTCAGACAAGATTCGCACATGTAGGGCAACAAGGGAATCAAAAGGTATCTTCTAAACAAAGGATGGATTAGGGCTAGGTGCTAGCACTCTGGAGCCAAGCCAGGTGTAGCCCAGCGGGAATGCTGCCACACTAGATTGTAGTTCTAGCAGTATTTAGTATTTGTAGAGGCCCTGAAGATATCAAATGCAGCCAACTCAAGTCCTCAACATATAAAAGATCATTTTCTTTTTGCTTATATAGTACTTAATGTAAGCCTGGGCAGGCCACATACTGACTGAAAGATGACACATGTTAGCCCAGCCTTCTGTGTTGCTGGGCACTCTTTACTAATTCCCACAGAGTGGGGCCTTAATGGCCTCCTTTAATTTTACCTGAGAGGGTGGCTAGCTCATAAGCCTGATGGAAAGGAGGAAAACAAAGTGGTCTGAAAACAAGTAGGTTGGCTCTCTAGATGAAGCCCCATTGTCTAAAATTTGGAGCCTAGAAATATGGTTGTAATTTTGCCTCCACAGCTGAGAGACAGCTGTGCTGGGTCAGGCCTTAACCACTGATGGTTGTGTGATCTCCCTACTAAGATACTGCAGTTTTTAGATTTTTTACACTAAAAGGCAAAACTGGTGGCTTTGTGGGAAAGTTCTTGCAGGGATTTTTTTTTTCCCCATTATGTCTGAGTCTAGCACAAGAATCAGGCAAATGGGGATGAAGATTGAAATTTATGGAAGGTGAAGGCAAAGTTGAACAAGGAGGCTGGGAGGCATCCTTCCTTGTGCTGAGTCCCAGAGTGCACTGGTTGAGTTCACACATCACAGTCAGTATGTGACAAATGCTGGCCTCCTTACACCAGAGCATCACGTTCCCCAAGCAACAGATACCAGTGAAGATAACCATCAAAGATCCCACTAGGGAAGGTCCAACTCACTGTCTAACAGGAGGTAGTGAAGAGGTGGCCAGTGGCCAGGTGACTCATCCCTTGATATTATTTCCACGTGGAAATCCATAGGGAAGGGTGCTCACTCTCTGAAGTGAGAATATTGCATTCCTGGAGAGTTTAATTCTAACAGGTGAGGAGGCCACTCTTAGTCACAGGTGTGGCATACTTATCGCCTCTCTCTAGTTCCTGAGGTGGATAGAAATAATTCAGAGGTCAGTGCAAGAATACCCAGAAAGGAAGGAATAGAGAACTGTTAGTTTGTCTACCTAACACGGACCTGGGTCCATTCCAGTGGATTTCCTTTTTAAACCTTCTACAAGTTGACACTTGGCGTCTGGTTCATGTCACATCCCAAAACCAGAATGGCTCTAATGGTCCCTGTTGATTATTACGAGATGAGTGCGCTCAAAGATGATCGTAGTCCATAGGCTAAGATTTCTTTATTCAGATAAACACCAGCCCAAACGCAAGCCAGAGCGTGCCCACAGGTCGTAAGCTAGCGTGGCCAGATAGAAGGGGCCCCCACGTGTCTGCAGCACCTTAAGAACCCCCCACGCGTCATCCTGAACACCCCTTGACCATGCCCTAACGGGCATGGTTAAGCACACCTGTAGCCAGCCCTTAGGAGGCGTGGTTACGGTGTCTCCCTACAGCCCCTCCATTCTTTATGAGGGGTTTTGAGTTCTACTTCAAGACAACTATCAGAGGCAATTCATCTCAAGCTAAATGTCAGGCTAATTTTGCTGCCTTTGATTATATTATCATTTCTGTGATTCATATCTAATTCATATTCACATCTAATTAAATATATTTATTTCTAATCATGTCAACCAGAAGACATACATAAAATGGGAAATTACTCTGGCATTTTAGCTATGTATTTTAGCTATGGAGTTGTGAAATTGGCACAGATTTCCCAAAAGACCAAACTGGAGGGTAGGATTATTAATTAATAAATATGTAAATCAGTGAAATATATAAGCAGCCTTTCAGTGTAGCCTTGAGTTACCTCACTGGTCATGTGGATGGCTGATCACCAAAGCTAAACCCATTCTTCTTTCATCTCTCTGAGAAATCCCTCTCCTCCTGGGAGCTCACCTTCTCCCCCAACAGCCCCCTCACAGTGGTTCCACACAGCTACTCTGATGCCATCAAGATCTTGGCTTCCCAAAGTATCTGAATATTAACCACTCCATATACCATTCGCTTAAACATCTGAAGCTAGTTCATCTTCTGTTCATTAGGTTGATTCTTATTGTGTATATGCCATGCTACATTTGGTTTGGTCACGCCAAGAATTGTGTGTATGGGGGAGGGAGGAGGAGAACATGGGGGATCAGGAAGGTTGGGGGAAGAACAGAGAAAGACAGCAAGGAAAGAGATACCTTAATAGAGGGAGCCATTGTGGGCTTAACAAGAAATCTGGCACTAGGGAAATCTCCAGGGATCCACAAGGATGACCCCAATTAAGAATCTAAGCACTAGTAGAGAGGCTCCCTTAAATGTCCTTCCCCTATAATGAGATTGATGACTGCCTTAAATGCCATCCTAGAGCCTTCATCCAATAGCTGATGGAAGCAGAAACAGAGATTCACAGCTAAGCATTTAGCTGATCTCCTGGAATCCAGTTATAGAGAGGGAGGAGTGATGAGCAAAGGAGTCAAGACCATGCTGGGGAAACCCACCAAAACATCTGACCTGAGTAACTGGGAGCTCACAGACCCCAGACTGACTGCTGGGGAACCAGCATAAGACCGAACCAGGCCTCCTGAATGTGGGTGTCAATTGGGGGGCCTGGACAGTCTATAGGGCTTCTGGCAGTGGAGCGGAACTGGGATTGGTATGTAAAATAAGATTTTTTTAATTTAAATAAAAATTTAAAAAATTGTGTGCTTGTCAGAAATCGTCTATGGCCTCATATAGGGAACATAAGTTAAAAATACTCTTGTGTGGAGTTATTATAAAAATCACTATATCATTTCAAATGGAAGCAGTTGTGTATAGTTACTGTTCCCATTGCTGTGAACAAATACCTGGCAAGGAATAACTTAAAAAGAAGGAAGGGTCTATTTTAGCTTATGGTTCTAGGGGCTACAGTCCATCATGGCAGGGAAGGCATAGTGGCAAGAGCATGAGACAGTTGGTCACATTGTCTTCTGTGGGCAAAATGAGGAGAGAGAGCGAGAGAGAGAGAGCGAGAGCGAGAGAGCGAGAGAGAGAGAGCGAGAGCGAGAGAGCGAGAGAGAGAGAGAGAGAGAGAGAGAGAGAGAGAGAGAGAGAGGAACCCTTTGCAGCCAGGCTCAGGCCAGGAGGAGATAAGGTGTGTGGGAGGGAATACAGTCCTCAGAACCCTCTCTAGGTTTGTTGTTGTACTCTGTATCCATGTTTATTTTCTTTTCTTCCCGTTACATTACAAAACCAAAGATGTCTTACCTCCATGGAGTGGCCAACCTCACATGTGCTCCATAACCCTGGGCCCTACTTCTGCCTCTTTACCAATCACTGCTCTCTGAACTCATTTCCTCTGGCTTGAACGAAGCCTGCCTGTCTGGTGAAGAGTCTCTCTGCTGTGCTCATCTGTTCCTCTCCCTCCAAATCCTCATGGTTTGTGTTTTGTTGAAGCTCTGAATTCTCCTCCCCATCACCATCCCCAAGGAACAGAGGCCTTAAAAGTTCACCTCCTAAAAGCCAGGCCCAAGAACTTTCTCAGTCCACATCTTTCTACCTTCCTACAGCAAGGCCCCAAGACCCCTGGCTCTTGCCTAGTAGAGACTTAGAAGGTCCAGGTCTAAATATTGCTAGGGAAGTCACCAACATCTAAAACTGAAGCTAACCAAAGTTGGCCTGATCTTCCTGTAAAGGAGAAGTTCTTCCAGGTAGAAGTTTATCCTTGCTAGTACCGGGAGCCTGGAAATCAGATACTTTTTCAAAGAGTCTGTTTCAAATTTAAACACTACAGAAAACCCACAAATGATAATATATTTGTCTCTCAAAAAGGACAATGTAAGTTATTGATCTCGGTAGCACCAAGTTCTCCTGCTTCTTGTTCATCATTAAACTATTCCTTCCTCCTGTTTCAGGCTTTATGACCAACCACACTTAGAAGGTTTCCACAGTCTTTTGTTGCTTGATACTCATTCATTTACTTACCAGACAATTGGTATCTTTAATGTGTCAGGATTTCTCTCTCTCTCTCTCTCTCTCTCTCTCTCTCTCTCTCTCTCTCTCACACACACACACACACACACACAGAGAGAGAGAGAGAGAGAGAGAGAGAGAGAGAGAGAGAGAGATTTCAGAGTAGTATAAGGGAGGCCTATTGGGAAGAGGAACAGGATTAGAGGGAATAAGAGAGGGTAATGAGGTTTAGGACCAAAGTATATTGTGTATATATATGTATGTATGTATGGAATTGTGAAGGAATAGTTACATTAAAAAAGAAGTTCATATTCACCATGCTCAAGATCAGTTGGTTGACAATATTCTCCCTGACATTTTACCAGCTCAAAGAAATTCTTGAGTGTTCCCACCTACTCACAGTTATTAAGATGGAAGAGGCTGGAGATGAAATTGTGAGCAATGCCATTTCCTATGCGCTGTACAAAGGTGAGTGGACTCAGTTCCCTGAGAGTACATCCTTGGAGGATAAAATGACTGCTGTATATGGTGAATTCCCTTAGATGGGTGTATTTCACAGAATAAGAAGTTTTAGGTCATTAAAAGGCTGGTCAAGTGTAACCAAAGTAATCTGTAAACAGTTGTTTCTAGCAGTGGTTTAAAGAACGTTTGGAGTGTCAGACCTCTTTTAAAATGTTGTAAGACTTTGTTCCTCCAGGAGTGTGTACACACATACTTTACATGCATACAAGCACATGTGAAATACCCCCCCCCACACACACACAGACACACATACACATACACAAATAACTTAGCATTCAACTTCAGGGGTTCAGGCATCTCCTGAAGCTTATGACTGATCTCTAGGAAGAACAATTCTCTGTATTTTTTTTTTTGGCTTTCCAAGATAGGGTTTCTCTGTGGCTTTGGAGGCTGTCCTGCTCTCCTGGAACTAGCTCTTGTAGACCAGGCTGGTCTCTGGCTCACAGAGATCCACCTGCCTCTGCCTCCTGAGTGCTGGGATTAATGGCATGCGCCACCACCACCCGGCTTTCTCTGTAGACTTTTGATGTCTTAGGATTCCATCAAAGTGAGTGGGACATGATGGTGCATGTCTTTAATCCCACCACCTGGAAGGCAGAGGCAGGTGGATCTCTGTGAGTTTGAGACCAGCCTGGTCTATATAGGATCTTAGGTCTGGCTTCCAGGAAAGACAGAGCTACTTAGTGAGACCATGTCTCAAAAAAGAATTCCACCAAAGTGGAATTACCTGTAGTAACTAGCAAAGCCTTGCCTTCTGGATTGAAATACCTAACCAATAAACGCAAAGTATATAGAGGCGATAGATAGATAGATAGATAGATAGATAGATAGATAGATAGATAGAGGAGAAGAAAAAGAGGGGAGAGAGAAGGGGAAAGAAAGATACTGGGTTGGAAGTTGGGCCTCTAAGACCTGTCTCCCCTTGATCCACTTCCTTAAACTAAGCCATGACTCCTAAAGGTTCCACAGCCTCTCAGAACAGTGCCAGGACCTAGAAACAAAGTATCCAAGCACAGGAGCCTATGGGGAACATTTTACACTCAAATCATAACAAATACATTGTTACAATATGGCTAATTATTTTATAGATTTATATATAGGGTAAGTCAGACACAACTTTGGAATATAATACTTATGGAGCCTCAATCTATGAAGAAATATCAATACATCCTAGTTACACTATATTCATATGTAACAGGAGGATATTATGATCTGGGTTGATCAGGATATATGCAATGCAGATAAAAAATGAGTGACAATAGAGGGAGATGACAGTTTCCTGTGATTCCAAGAGGCTTGCTTTGACGAGTGGCTCTGATATTTGGAGGATATTAGTAGCCTGACTTCCTTCTGCATGGTTTGTTGCTCTATGGCTTTCTTCCTGCCCACCTCCAGCCTTCAGCACTAACGAACAAGACAAGGACAATTGGAATGGGCAACTGAAGCTTCTGCTGGAGTGGAACCAGTTGGACCTTGCCAGTGATGAGATCTTCACCAACGACCGCCGATGGGAGGTAGCAGAAGCCTCTGGGGTTATTCCTGGGTTAGCATGGACAGTGGTCTCAGCAGTAGATGGTGTGCATCCAACAAGGTCATCCGTCTAGCATATTGTCAATGTCTGTTTTGTTCTAGCGTATCGATGGGAGGTAGCAGAAGCCTCTGGGGTTATTCCTGGGTTAGCATGGACAATGGTCTCAGCAGTAGATGGTGTGCATCCAACAAGGTCATCCGTCTAGAATATTGTCAATGTCTGTTTTGTTCTAGCGTATGAGTTCTAGCGTCCAGCCTCCATTTCCTCCATTTCCTCCATTGTAGGACGGGATAATGATGTTAACTTAGTAGGTTTCTTGCAAACAGATAATAGAGCCAAAGACTCTCATGTAAACTGTCCTAAATGCATAATCCTGTTGCCAGGAGACAAGAGAAGATAATCTGGTGTTGAGCCCCAAGTCTGCACGTGAGTGGATGGGTAGAGGTATGGGTTCTAGAGATAAGGGATTATTCATCTGGCTTGACTAAAAAGATCAAGACAACAGCATTCTTTGGCCACCTCCCCACCCAGTCAAATTCTGGGAAGAGATTTGTCACTGGTGGGGGGTATGAGGGGAAGATGGAATAACTTAGCTGAAGACACCCACCAGTGCCTTAGAGTGAGGTATCAGGGACTGCCTGAGCCAAATGAATGCCTCCAATATGAAAGTAGCATAGAAAAATTATAGTCATAATTTATAATTTTCCAGAAGATTGCTCTCCTATATTTTCAGTTAGATAAATGCTTTAAGGCCCTCTTTATGGGAGACTACTTGCTTGCGTCTAAAGTTCAATCAGCCTTGGAGGCTCTGTTCAGAAGCAACAATAAGCTGTCAAACAGATTTACAAGCGTGCATCTTGGCGTTCAGCTAGTCTCAGTGAATTGAAGTCATTATGGGCAGTGAGGTTACATTTGGTTTTACATGTGTGTGAATGGATTTGAAGGCTTACATAACTCAACTTCCGCCTTCAGCAGACAGCTTCAGAAAACACTCCCATACATACCACTGTATCATCAAAGACCAAGATTTGATTTACATTAGCATATGATCAATTTTAATGAGAGTAGTGAAAATAGTAATGGCTCATGAATTTTTGAGTTATTCATCCCTTTAGCAAACATTGTCTAGTGTTTGGTCTTTGCACCATAATGAACCCTCTGATACACCACAAGGCTTTAGTTAATGGAGGGCAAGTAGAACCGTAAGTGCATTAATTAATTGATTTATAAATGAATCCCTCTGTGTACATTGCTGTATTTAAATAAGGTCAGATGGTAAATAAACAAACTCAGACATATATTAGCCTTATACATTTAATTTTATTAGCTCAGCTGAAGGTAGTTAGGATGAAGGACATAGCGGTTAAGACTTTTAGTGCTGGAGTAGCTGTCTATGCGTCTATGTGTCGTTATGCAAGGGTCTCAACTACGCACTGGGTCAGCTCCCTTTTACAGTGCCGTGCTGGGGCCAATTCATACTGGCTTGCAAAAACTAGCTGCTAAACTTTCCGGAGATTTTGGGGGGTTTGGTTGTTGAATACAGTCATTATTAAAAATCAATATAAAAATCTGGACATGTCTGTGTGTGTGTGTGTGTGTGTGTGTGTGTGTGTGTGTGTGTGTGTGTGTGTAATGTCAGCATTGAGGGATGGAGACTGGTGTGTAATGTCAGCATTGAGGGATGGAGACTGGTAGATCCTAAGAGCTCTCTGGCTAGACAAGCTAGCTGAAGAGACAAGCTTCATGTTCAGGAAGAGGTCCAGCCTCCGGATAACAAGGAGGCAAGTGATAGAGGAAGACATATGATGTCTTGCTCTGATCTTTGCATGAGCACAAACAGGGGCACACACCTGTGCATGCACACACATGTACCACACGCCTGCAATGCTCCTCACCAGGACTCTCTAGTTATTTTGCTGCACTTAGGAATTGTGTCCGGGTTACTTCTGTTGCTACCGCCCACTGTCACATAGTGGTGTGATCCTCCATCTAGTTCCAGTTCTACATTCAGCAATATCACAGTAGGAGCTGAAAATACGCTATGGCAGGGGTATGTGCATCATTGGGAGCAGCAGATTCTACATCGGGGTCTGTGTTTCTCTCAGACAGCTATTGTTAAACATCTGTCAGGCTCGCCCCAAAACAAAGGGAATTGCCATAGTACCTTCTATATAGTATAGTTGTGTTGTTACACTGATGAAATTAAACAGTATTTCTAAAGGACTGGTTCTTTCTAATATCTATACTAGCATCTGCTTAAAAGTACATTTTAAAATGACATCACACAGCCCTTCACTGTGCACACGGTACTTTCCTGGCCACTCACATCAACTCCCAGCAGAGATGATCTCATTTTGTTGACAAATGAGTCAGAGCACCATGGATGTTATAGGATGGGAGTTCCCGGCGATGTCTGCGGGCAGCTCTGAACTCTGATCTCTGAAAGAACGTGACCTGGGTTGTCCCATTTCGTCTTTACCAAGCAGAACAAAACAAATTGAGGCTCAGAGACAAACATCTTGTTCTGACTCATGGAACTAGACAGTGGTGGGACCAAGGTTTGGAAACAGATATGTGTCTGTCTACAAAACCTTTCCTTTCCCATATGCAAGTGGTTTTCAGTGTGGTCCTAGGACTAGTGATGGTATAGCCCAGAAACTCATTAGACTGCTGGATTATTTCTAACTCATGCTTGCTGTGTTAGAAACAAGGTTGACTACCAGCAGTCTGCCTCAGTGAGTCTCCATGTTTGAGAACCATTGCCCCATGCTGTCCAGTGTGGGACCAATGGGAAGGCGCACACAAACTTGGAATGACATGCAAGATAGGGGTGTGGTGGACACCTGCTTCGAGGATAGTGGAGATGGCACACTCCCCAGATGAGCTCTGCCCTGCTGATCTCAGAGATCTAAAGAGTGGGGACTCAAGGAACCTTTAACGATTTCCCCTAGGCAGAATGTGAGTCCATGAAAACAACATCAGGCAGACATAAAAACCACCAATGCTGCCATTAAAATGAGGACCAGAAAAGGAACTGAGAGTGAAGGAGGCTGCCATCAGGGTGAAATCAGAGTTAATGGTCACCAGGGGCCTGGGTTCCTGGGAATAGATGCCAAGGCTTCTGCTGGAGGTTTCTGTGTTGTTAGACTTTGTACCTTCCACTTCTAATATGATCTCGATGGCCCTTTGTATCTGTGAGTGTTGGCAATGAAACTAACTCATAATAAATATCATATAATAACAGTATGCAGTAATGTGTATCATATAATATACCTAAAAGCTGACACAGTGTGCACCTACAGTATTGTGGCTGAAGCGAGCATTGATCTTTCTTTAGACTCTTAGGACGGCTAGGCATCATGGCTCCTGCCTGTCATCTCAGCATTTGGGAGGCTGATGCAAGAGGATTGCTATGAATCCAAAGCCAGCATGGATTATGTAGTGAGTTTCAGGCCATCCTAGGATGCCAAGTTAAGAATCTGTCTAAAGATAAATAAGGAAAAAATGGATTCTTGGAAAAACTCTGTAAGATAATTTTTACCAGGAGCTCAGAAAGAGTTGACACAGGGACCGGTGACTCACTGCTGTGTTACATCCCAGACAGTTACTAGACAGTATGTGGCTTGTTGGGTTCTATTTTGACAATTGCATTTGAGAACTTTGCACTGTAGGGAAGGTCAGAGTTCACCTAGGGAGGGCAGGCAGCAGATGCCACAGTGTGGACAGGCAACACTGGCAGCTGGCTCACAGTCAGTGTCTACTGCAGACTCCTGCTGTTGGCTTCTGCTTCCTGATGGCTCTTTAAGCTAAGTGACAGCATCAGCTTCTGGCCCACGCCATGCTTAAGTGGGCACGCTGTCTCCACACAGCAAGAACTGAGGTCACATTCAAAGGGTCCACCTTGCTGTTCTCCCACCTAGACACTGAAAAGATGAATTTTATTGTCAAAGCAGGATGTAGAGAGAAGCTGGAGACACCAGGACTCTGTGGTGGGAATATAGAAACTCCTGTGTTTTCTTCATTGGTCTTATGGTATGCGCTCTCTCTTCTTTCCCCTTAGTCTGCTGACCTCCAGGAGGTCATGTTCACGGCCCTCATAAAGGACAGGCCCAAGTTTGTCCGCCTCTTTCTGGAGAATGGCCTGAACCTGCAGAAGTTTCTCACCAACGACGTCCTCACGGAGCTGTTCTCTACACACTTCAGCACCCTGGTGTACCGGAACCTACAGATCGCCAAGAACTCCTACAACGACGCACTCCTCACCTTTGTCTGGAAGCTTGTGGCAAACTTCCGTAGAAGCTTCTGGAAGGAAGACAGAAGCAGCAGGGAGGACTTGGATGTGGAACTTCATGTACGTAGCGGCATTGGAGCTGTCTGTCTGAATTCAGTTCTCTGCTTCCATATTTCTATTCCCAGAATTCAATTCTCTGCCTCCATCTTTCCTGCTCTCTTCCTGATTTCCATAAAGCAGTTAGAAGGGTGAAATGCTTTTTCTCTACCATCTTTCCTAAAGAATAAAGTCACTGGCAAGTTTTCTGATGTCTCGCTCTAGCCCCTGGTTTTGTTCAGTTACATAATTTCTAGGTCACAAGACATGTGTGACATACTTTCTAAGGCTATTTGATGGGGAGCAGGGACAAATAGATGGCTTCCTGCTCCTGTTTCAGCCTGCTTACAAAAATAGCTCACTGCTGCCCAGGTGAAAGAATGAAGGGCTGCCAGGAATTCTGAGAACAAATGGAGTGGTGGATATTTCCCCTAGAGCAGAAGTGAATGCCCTGGGATTCCTTTTTGAGTGTGCGCAGGCCCAGTTCCACTCAACAGTATCATCAATTATTACCAGCATTTGCTCTGATCAGAGTCCAGTGCTAGTGAGTGCTCCAATTGCCCTTCATCTGAAGGAGACAATTCAGGGCCATAGGAAGTGAGCTTCTGGCAACACAGCCATGGCTGCCTGCTTGGTCTCTTTCTTTTCTGACTTTATTTCCTCACTCTCTAAATAAGACACTTGGCTCAAATTCTTATCTCAGGATTGCTTCTGGGGAAACCCAAACTAGAAGTGTGTGTGTGTGTGTGTG